TTTTTTTTTTTTTTTTTTACCTTTGTTCCTGCCCAAGGCTTCACAATTAACGTGTTTAGGTCTGCCCATCCTTCGTCCGATGGCATCCCAAGGGTCAATTTATTTTTTAAGTGAACAGAACAGTGAAAACGGAGCTTTGTCGGTGGATTTTGCGAGTTGCATTAGTGTAACGGGGTAGGAGAAGCGGGCGTAGAGGCTAGTCGCTGATCGGAGAAGCAACCGCTGATGGGAGAAGTTCCTCTCAATGGAGGTGTAAACTTTGGCACGGCTTCCTGGCATGTTCCAGTCAAATATCTCGTTGCCGCCATGTTCTATGACCCCCGGGGTGGAGAGTCATATTATATCTTCTTTGGTAAATCCTTTCGGAGCACCTCGACAGTGGAGTGACTCTGCTAGATGGTGGAACCGGCCTCCAATTAGTAGCCGTTTCTTTTTTTTTTTGGAGTGAAAAACGAGGAATAATTGATGCAAAGGGGGGAGGAAAAGGAATAGCTGCCCCGAGTGTTAGTCTTTTTTTTTTTTTTTTTTTGAATACCCCGTTGTACCGAACAGATGAAAGGTGACGACTGCTTCAACCTAACCCAACGGTGGCGCATGTAATTTTCATGGGGATAAAGCACAAACGGATTAGCCACCCCGTGGAGGAAGTATATCACCCCGCCAAAAAATAAAGAACATTTTTGCAAAAATCGCAAAACAGTTTGCACTCCTGTGGGTCTTAACAACAGAGTGGTAAACAGAACAGTATAAATATATTTTTTTTCCCAATGCACGGATGAACTGGATATATGGTACAACCTCTTATCTGTGCCATGAGACCAAGTGAAAGATCATTCAGCTGAGCTTTCTCCACCTCGACATGGACGAACCTGATGATAAGTCAAGTAGAAAAAAGAAGGCCTCGTTCCCGGAGAGGAACTTCCCTTCAAGTGGGAACCAGAACAGGAAAAAGAAAAAAATAAAAGTTAGAAGCGACATAGAGAGGAAGGGAGGTAAAGTGGCCAACGGGGGGGAGTCTCCCCCGAGTAGCCATCCCCATCAGGAACCCATACCATTTGACTTTTTCACGGAAGAGGACTACAAGAAATATGACGATTTTGTCAAATTCTGCGAGGAAAGCTTTGCCTACATCGACATGGAAGACGTGAATAAACAAATCGCTCTTCTCAAATCGAGGGGTGGCCAAGCCGAGTTGTACTTGTCCAATGTTGTTACCAGTTCGGGTGACGAGGGGGGAGAGGATGGGTGCGAACGGGAGGTGCAGGAGAAGCAGGTTGCTACCCCCAGGAAAGAACAAAAGTATAGGAAAAATTTGAAGCTAATAAATATAAAGAAGCACAAGCGAGCCAGGATCAACGTGATACTGATTAGGAAGAAGTACACGGGGGGGGAGCAGACGAAGGGGGGGCAAACTACTGCTCATCAAGACGCAGCTCATCAGACTTCACCTCATCAGACTGCACCTCATCACACCCCCAACAACACCGCGGTCGTGTCCCCCATTTTCATGCCGGTCGGCACGAAGAGCTGCATCAAGGGGCTAGTCCAGGAAGAAGTTCAGCTCCTGTGCAACGACATCATCCTCAGCAACACGTATCACTTAGCCAACATATTTGAAATGTCCACTTTTGTGGATAACAAGGGAATCAATAACTTCATCCGTTTTCCCAATGCAATGCTCACCGACTCGGGGGGGTTCCAGATGGTGTCCCTGAGCAAGAGAATAACCATACTGGAGGAGGGCATCCTCTTCGATAACATCTACGACGACGCGGTTATGAGCAGGAATGTGCGCGCGGTGGGGGGGGTGGGAGAAGTGAAGGAGGGAAGGGAAGTGAACGAAGTGATGGAATCGAAGGAATGGATGGAGGGGGAGGAAGAGATGCAAGCTGTTTCCTCTGTCCCAGCGGATGGCGCCACCCCCCCCAGGAGGGAAATCATGTTGACGCCCGAAACCTCCATAAGGCTGCAGAACCAAATCGGGAGCGACATCATCATGGCCCTGGACGACGTGCGCCCTGCAACGGAAACGGACGTGGAAAAGATAGAGGAGGCGACGCACAGGACCAATAGGTGGCTTCAAAGGTGTATACAAGCTCACAGCAGGGAAAGAGAGCAAACCCTCTTTGGAATAATCCAGGGGGGGCTCCACATCAGACTGAGAAATGAATCGATGGAATTCATACTGAAACGTAGACTGAATGGTTATGCTGTGGGGGGACTCTGCGGTGGCGAAAGAAAAGGCGACTTTTTCAACGTAGTGCACCATTGCTCAAATGAGAAAAATAGAAAGTGGAATTATTTACCAGAAAATAGATGCAGGTACATTATGGGAATCGGCTACCTCGCTGACATTCTCTTTTGCTCTATCCTAGGTTACGACATGTACGATTGTGTGTATGCATCGAGGACGGCTAGGTTTAACACTGCCTTGAGTTATGACGGAACGATCAAATTGAAGCAAGCCAAGTATGCCTTTGATTTTTCTCCACTTGTAAGCAACTGTCATTGCTATGTATGTTCTAATTTTTCCAAATCGGCTCTACATCTACTTATTTCGAAGAAGAACCCAATTGTAAATGTCCTCTTGACCATTCATAACATTTACTTTACCTTGCACTTTTGCTACCTCCTGCGAGTTGCCATCTTTTTGGAGAAAACCGACCTCTTCGTGACGACCTTCCTGTATAACTACTTCGTCATCGGGTGCAGGAATGGCAACTATAAGATCCCCGATAATGACAAGGCAGCTCCGGGTGAGGATACCTCAAATGGGGGGCCAATCCACCCCCAGGCGAAAAACACGCAAGATGAAGCAGCACATGGAGAAAAAAACGAGGTAGTGAGGAACACACCCACTATACCGACTATACTGACTAGTGATGAGCCCCCCTCAAGGGAGCCAACTCAACCGAGTTGCTACCCATCCACGTGCACAACCCCGACAGCGCAGGAAAAAGTCGAGATGGTAAAGGAGTTAAAGGATAAGTTGCCACACTGGGCTTTACAGGCGCTGCAATATGCAGAAATAGGACTCACTTTTTGAAAAAAAAAAAAAAAGAAAAAAAAGAATCGCCCTCGTCATGTCTGTACGTACGATACTGGCGAAGCAGCCATTTTGGTTTGCCCTCCCCCCATGGTGTGTGCACAAAAAATGGAATCATTTGAATGGATCTCCCAGGTTCCATTTCCCCCATAAAAATAACTCGTTCACATTTCAAGTTTGACTTTTTAAAAATCGGATGATTATGGCTAGCTAAACCGATCAGTGTCTGTGTGCGTGTGTGTACTTAGGGGGAATGTCCCAAAAAGGGGTGACTCCGTAAAGAGGGCTTCTTCCTACGTGGCTTTCCACCCATTCTACACCCGTTTAGCGGATGAAACTCTTTCCCTCTACCAATTCCCACTCGGGAAGGAACTACCCTTCCCCAAGGGGTACTTCAAACTGATTTTGAGAAGATCTCTACCCAGGCTTGTCTTACCACAAAAGACACCCCCAAACGGGGATCTTCTCTGTGTGTGTGTATATGGGTGGGGTGAATGGAAAAAGGCCGCGCTCCGCAAGCTGCCAAATTGTCCTAGCGAAACTTCTCCAGAGATTGCGCAGAAAAATTGTTCAAGGCGTTTTTGCGAGGTGCTTATTCACACTTCAAATTTTGGTAATTTTTTTTTTTTTTCTCCTCGTCAATCGATGCTGTCTAGCACAGTGAGAAGGAAAGCGGTGCGATGAGATTAGGTGCGCCGCGAAGCGAAAGAAATAGCAGCTAAACGAGGCAAATCGCCGCTATGCAAAGCTTACCCTCCACGTGATACATCAGACAGTCCAGTTTCCACACACGTAACCTTTTTCCATCACGCGTAAGTGTCCAATAGCGTTTTGTAAAAAAATCTAAAGAGAAAACACTGGCGAAATTAAGCTGACAAAGAAGCTGGCAAAGAAGCTGGCAAAGAAGCTGGCAAATAAAGTGACAAAGGAAGTGACAAAAAAACTGCCAAAAAAGCTGCGAACTTCTCCAGTAGCGGAGTAGCCCCATTTTGAAGTAAGCTCAGCATTCCTCAAAACCCATCTGCTCTCCTCCTGTGTTACGTTCCCAATTGTGATACGCTGCCCGTGTGTGTGTCCTTAAGGTGGGGCGCAACCTCTCCTTCCGAACTTTCTCCTCGTACGTTTATGTGCCCTCAGAGGGGCATCTCCACAAATCATCCTCTGGAGTGATGGGAAACAAAATAAAATAACTCCGTTCACTGAGACCCCTTCACTGGTGTGGTAATTACCGTGGAAGTGCCTGCCTCCACGGTATCCATTAGCTTTACCGTTGCAACCCCCTTCACGAAATTTTTACCAACATGGAACTAACCTTTTTATGCCTTTTTTTTCTTTTTTTGGCAACATGTGGCTAACATTTGTGTGAACAGAGACCTCCTCTACTTTGCTGTGTGAAAAAAAAAGAAGAAAAAAAAAACTTACATGTTACATTTCCTGTCCTTTTAAGACCATTTCACATCAGGACACCACTCGAGCAATTGATAGGTAAAGGGAAGAACGTACCAAAGATAAAGATATACCCTCCTCCCCCCCCGAGAGTTGCAACACACGGTAACTAAAACATTTCACAAAGATGCCGCCTTTGGGAAGCAAGCCCACCAGGCGTGCGCGGCAAAGCGTGACGTAAAAAATTAGACGTAAAAAATGCTACATCAAAGTGCCACGTAAAAATGTACAAACAGCGGTTGTGCCAACTCCCGTGTGATCTTCCGCCTCGAAAGTGTCTCTACGCTCGCCATGGGCATGCTTAAATGTGATTAGACCTGTACAGGTTTGCTTCACCCATTTTGTCTACCCTTTTGATGCACTCCTTTTTTGCACTCATTTGCGGGGCTCCATTGTTCTGCTTGCCCTCCCCCCGGGCGTCGCGGACAAAAGCGCCTTGCTTGTGCATGTGGTTTTCCCCTTTTGGGGGGGCATGCACACACTAAAAAAAAAAAAAAAAAAAAAAAAAAAAAAAAGAAGGAAATAACCTAAAAATAGCTAGCTGTTGCTAAATCGACAAAACGGCTA